CCAGTAATCCCAGCTTTTGGGAAGCTGTAAACAGGTGGATCACTACGAGTCTGATCTAGTAATGAGACCCTGAACACCCTGTAGACCCTTCCCTAAAATATAAAAAAAAAACCCCAAAGAACTGAGGAATGAAGCTAGAGGAATGAAGCTAGAAATCAACAGCAAAATTATTCAAATTCTTTATGAATCAGCTTTTTGCACACTCTAAATATATGAATTTCACTATTGCCAGTATCTTCATGAGCCTTAATCTTTTATTAAACAAAAATCTTTTAATTTTGATACACTAAAATTAATCTTTTGTTTACTGTATAGTTTACACTTGGGAATTTTATATAAGAAGCCTGTCTCTACACTGTGATACTCTCTTGTATTTCCTACTAATTTTATAGTTTTACCTTTCACCATTAGATAACCCCCCCTTCTATCTGGTACTGGGGACTGAACTCAGGGTCTTTTACAGTACACCACCAGTCCTTTACTTTTCATTTTGAACGAGGGTCTTGCTGAATAGCTGTATCACCCAGGCAGATCTCAAATGTGCAATCCTCCTGCCCCAATCTCCCAAGAGCTGGATACAGATGTGTCCCATGGCGCCTTCAGGTCGTTCAGTTACCCAGACTGCACTTTGGATCGGATGCTAGTTAAGTTTTGTATTTCATTTTCCTCCACGTAAAACCCCAGTTTCTCACACCACTACAAATGAGGGATTTTGTGTATTATATACACACAAAATGTAATAAAATGCTTCTAGTTTTGTTGCTGTGAGTAGTTTCAATTATGTACCTATTAGGTTTTTTAGCAAAATGCTTGAAATTCTTATAAATTTATTTTGTATCTAAGAAACTTAACTTGAATTTTAATTATTCTCCTTGAAAAGAACTTAAAAATACTTTTTAACCTCTTGATACCGATAATCTGTATTTTTTTCTTATATTTATGAGAAAAGTTCCCATTCTGTTAAGTGCAATGGGACAGTAAACATAATAAGTGCATTAATAGGGTAGGGGCTTGGCCAAACAACAATGCCTTAATGGAAAGTTTCTTCCTGTCCGAGCTCTTATGTCCAGGACATAAATAGGCAGCTATCCAGGAGGTGAATGTGCTTCTGGTATGCTGCCCTTCTTAGCACAACTGGCTTGCTATGACTACACTCACATTCTAGTCCACAGGAAAGAAGTAGAAGTGAACCACACACCTCTTCCTTCTGAGGTCTGATTGTTGTAAATTCACTTCTCTTTCCATTCCATTGATCAAAACTTAGTCCCACGGTCCCTCTTTTATTTGTACAGTAGCCTGGAAGATAGATTTTCTTCTCAAGAGGGTCACTGCTAGCTAAAACTCATGGGAAAGTTGTTAAAGAGGTGAAAGACAAAGAGGGATACTGTTGTACATTTGCCTTATTCCTAAAGTGATCATATATAACCATTACCAAGTAAAAGAAGTATTATAGGCCTGGAGAGATAGCTCAGTGGCATTAAGCACCTGCCTGGTAAGCCCAAGGACCCAGGTTTGATCCTTGTTATCACATGCTGAACTGGCCCCGATACCAGGTGTGGTGGCACAAGCCTGTAATCCCAGCACTGGAGAGGCTGAAACAGAAGGATCACTATGAATCTGAGCTGTGTAGTGAGACCCTGCATCTAAATTTCGTGTTTTTTTTTTTTTTTTTTTTTTTGAAGTTTTATAGACTAAGGTTTTAACCCCAATTAAAAAATAAGCTCTATGAAGTTTGGCATGGTGACATACACATGATTTCACTTTGGGAGGCTGAGGCTGGAGGATCACAAGTTCAAACCCGGTCTAGGAAAGCAGGATCTGCTTCAGTCTGTGGCACAGGCTTGAACATGGGTCTATATATATCCAAGGAGCTGGTGGTGGCCAACGAACTTATAAATTTTCTGAGCTTGCACAGTTGCAGATCTTTATGTCTGTTTTTGACATGGTCTCACTACGTAGTTCAGGCGGGGCTCAAACTCCTGGTGATCTTCCTGACTTCGCCTCCTGAATGACGGATGGGACTGAACATACATTACCATACTTGGCTCAGGTGCGTAACTGTGTAACTCAGTTGCAGTTAAGTATTTTTATGGTACAGTGATGCTAAAAGTCACAAATCATTTAGGCTAAAAAGAAGTCTTTTGAAATGACAATTTTACAGCTTCAGAATTTCTACAGATAATTTGACTATTACTGCTGTTTTACTATCTGATGGGTAAGTTGCTATCATAATAAAAATAGTGGACTCCATCCCTTACAAAAGAACTGCATAAGAATTAAATGATCTTACTGAATGAATATGTGCTTTGGCTTTTCCATTTTTTTTTTAAATAATAAAAAATAAGCAGCAATTCGTGGCAATTGACACACAACTTCGTGAATATACAAGTGACTGAATTAAACATCTTTTTGGTTTTGGTTTGATTTTTTTTTTTTTGGTGGAACCGGGGATTGAACTCAGATCCTTGTGTTTGCCAGTCAAGTGCTTATCCTACTGAGCCATCACCCTGGCCCCTTGGTTTTTTTTTAACATTTATTGTGTGTGTGTGTGTGTGTGTGTGTGTGTGTGGCCAGTTCAGCCCACCTGGGGGCGGGGCTGGCTGGCATGTGGTGCTGGGGGATCGAACCGTGGTCCCTGTGCTTTGCCAAGCTTGTTCCAAGTAGGTGCTTTAGACCACTGAGCCATCTCTCCAGCCCTGGTTTGATTTTTTTGAGACACAGTCAAACTGGGGCTTGAACTCACAGTGATAGTAAGTATCTTGGTCTTTTGAGTGCTGGGTTTACAGGCATGCACCACCATGCCAGACTTGAACTGAACAACTGTAAAGGATGTATTCTGTGGTATGTGAATTACATCCTAACTAAAAAAAGAAAAAATCAGATAAATACTTGGAAAAAGACAAAAATAAAAAGAGCTGAGTATGTAGCTTGGTGAAAAGGCCTGGGTTCAATTCCCAGTACTATAAGACAAAAAAAAAAAAAAAAAAAAAAAAGTTTTTCTGTGTGTCACTTTTGCATTTACTGCTATACCATGCTTTTCTTCTCTTTCTCACTGTAGGGAACTACATCAATTGTTTTTATGACATTGGTAACAACCAAGTAAAGCCCCAATGAAGAATTCATGATTTTATTGTAGGATAGCATTTAGCTGTACTTAATGTGTGAATTAAACCAGGCATAGTAGTATATGTCTATAATCCTAGCTAATCAGGAAGCTCAGGTAGAAAGATTTTAAGTTCATAGCCAGGCCTGGGAACTTAAGCAAAACCTTGTCTAAAAAAAAAAAAAAAAAGAGGGAAGGAGAGAGGAGGGGAAGGGAGGGGAGGAGAGGGAAGGGAAGGGGAGGGAAAGGAGAAAAGGAAAAGGAAAAGGAAAAGAAAAAAGAAAAAGGGATGTAGCCCAGTGGGAGAACACTTACTTTGCAAATGCAAGGCTCTGGATTTAATCACCAGTGTCTGTCTGTCTGTCTGTCTGTCTGTCTGTCTGTCTGTCTCTCTCTCTCTCTCACACACACACACACAAATTCAAATATAGAGAACTGACAGTGAATATTGTTTTGCAGAATCCAGTGCTGAATTTCAAGAAAAATTTTTGTGCATGTTACAATAAAAAGACAGCTGACATTTGAAAGCCTACTGTGCTCCAGGTGCAACAGGGAACATTATGAGATCTGCCTTATAGATGAGAAACTGAGGATGAGAGAGGGCAACATACGGATAGGGTAAGAGGTGGAAGACTGCATTCCACAGCCTAGGATTAGTCTAAGTAACAATACCTCTTAATTAAACAGCCTTCTAACAACAAAGTATGAAAATAGATATGAGAAGTACAGAAATATTAGAGGTACAATTGGTTAATGCTGTCTTAAAAAGTTCAACTCAATACCACAATGGCTCCTTTCATTCACATGGAAAACTCAAGTCTGAGTTTAATTTAAAAAACTGAGACTCATTTACATAAACTTTTACATTAAGACCTTTTTTTTGGAAAACTCCTTTACAAAATTAGGAATGCCACAGGACAGACAAAAATGGCCTATGTGAAATCTGGAGATACATCAAAACAACTCTAGAGATGAAAGAAAATGCCATTTGGTCTTATATTGCTAATTTAAATATACATTTATACTTACTTAAGAATGTACCTATTCTAATCTCACTATTTAAAAACTGGTAAAAGCTGAACTGTTACAAGCTTTGAACATTTCAAAAAACTGTGCCTGAAATAAAATACATAACATCTGGTATTTCTACCTGCTGAACTTTCAATATACATTAACTAAAATGGAAAGAAGTTTTCTGGTGAAAAAAGGGAACTGAGGAACTGCAGGAAAACAGTATGTTTACTTTACCAAATAAGAATCAATTATTTTTTTTTATCTGAAAACTGTCCTTTTATTTATAGTTTTATTATCTGCTAGGTCATCCCAGTATTGTCAAATAGAAAAATATATTTAAAGTTCTCTCAAGACAAAAAGAAAAAGGACTCACCCCATCAAATACAAATATACTATTTTATTCTAAGGGAATATTTCTGTTGCTTCTGCAAAGGGAAAACCCAAAGGTAGTTAAAAAGTAAAAGAACAGGAAAAAATGATTAGATGTTACTTTTTGTTTCTTGGATTTTTTTTTTTTCTTTCAAGGGAAAAAACTGTAATTGTATACAACTTTAATAAAATAAAAAATGCAAATAATTAAGACACATTAACAGCTACACTTATGAGGAATGACCAATAACTAATCAGTATTTTCTCTTGCAAATTAGTTTAGGGTTCTGGGCAACTGGTGTTATTAACATGCAGTTTAAATGCTGATACAGTTATTTATTTGGGTACTGGTTGTTCTCAGTTAAAAGATACAAATTATTTTGTATGTATGTTCTGATATTTTATAACAATTTACTATATTAACAATATTTGTTTTTCATACAGCTATAGACAGGGAAAAATGTTAGCGTTTATACAAACCATAAAATTAGCATAGTGGGACTATTACGCCTGATGTTTCTGGATGGTTTATTGGCAGACTTATCAGACAATTCAGTTTTTCCTCCAACTGAACAAGGTCTGGAAGTAAAACGTTTTTCAGTCAGAAATGACAAACACAGATGGAATTACTCATACAGAATCAGGGCAGATTTACTTCTTTCACACAGTTTTTGGTAACAAAAATGAGATTCATTACAGGAAGAGAGACAGGTCCATCAAGTACACAATGTCAAAAGGCCCACTTTAAAACTTTTTGTAGTTAAATGACTTTCATTTGTTTAAAAAAAATAGTAACACTTGCCACTCCCACCTAAAATATGGGAAATACTGGAAGGTTTTTCAAGGTTAAATTTTTTCTAAGTTTATTACTTTTTAATTTAGGTAAGGTCACATTAACCTCAACTAAACTGGTTCTGTGATTGACCAACATCAAAAGCTCTGATTCAAATTTCATGGGGGAAACAGAATGCAGATGAGGGAGATGAACTGATATGTCACTCACATCTATGACTTGCAATCCTCATAGAACTACTAAAACAGCTAGAGTTTGGAATAATGCTATGAAACCTCCTATGGATAAGCAAGACACTCAATGTCTTTCTGTGCTCACCCCAGAATCCCTATTGTTCAAGTTTATTTGGGCAACAAGGTCATCCTCCAAATGTTTTACATAGAAACCTACTAAGACCTTTCCATCATAATTTGGATATCTAAGTAATACTGTGTCTTCATGGAATCACCCACAAGTTTGCCAGAGTTAAACAACTTCTTTTGAAATGACAAGGGCCTCCAAAAACTGGTGCAAAAGAAAAATAAAGGGAATTATTTGGAAATAGGAAGCTAAATAAATGGGAGAAAAGCTGCCACTGGGGAAAAACTGAAAACAAAAGGAAAGCCCCCATTTCTGTGTGTCACAGCTGAAGCTATGAGACAGCAGCAATAAAGGCCTACACCCAGAGAAGTGGGTATTTTAGTGGGTTTTCTACAAACATTTCAAGACACTTGGGGTCTAATGGGCTCCACAGATTTCTGTGTGCATAATTAGTTTGTGGAATATCATCCCCTTTATCCTAATTTACCCACATCCAGACCCAAAAAGTAAAGGGACACATTGCTATGTTAACAGCAGTGAAGGTCATTTTCCCTGATGTGAGGGGGCCATGGTAAAAGCACCTGAGGCTTCTATCCTTCACATAATTGGCTTGGCAGTGAAAATCAAAATCAAGACCCCTTCACTATCTTTTAGGAAAAGTTAAGTGATTTATTGGGTCTCCAAGTCTGGGTCCCACAGCACACAGGGTATTACCCCTGCTCTGTACTGATTTCACTCACCCTTGACTTTTATGGAGGGCTTACTCATACTGTAGCCAAGGTCTCACTCCAAAGCTACCTCTCTAAGGTCTAAGGTTACTACGGTAGTTTTATACAACAGTTTTCCTTAAAAATATTCCACAATTTGTTATTCCCAAACAAAATAAGATTATGCACCACTCAGAAAAATTGGTTAGTCATTCTGAAGATGTCTAGAACTATTTCACTGCCAAAGAACATTTCTCAGTTCATACTCTTTCCTTCATTGTACATCTACACTGTGGTTCACGAGTCATCTGTTTCCCATTGTCTCATAATCAAGTCAGAGGACTTGGACTTATACATCGCTTTCCAGCAGCTGGATGCATTCACAGTTTGGTGCATACCAATGTGTATGAAAATAGGAACTTCACTTCCATCTCAATCTGATAATTCAACATCAGAGTCTTCAGATTTGGCTTTGGCAAGTTCTTCATGTACCTCCCTCACCATGAGAATACGTGTTAACATGGTATCCAGGGTACCAGGGTCTATCGGGAATGTGGAGTACCACATGGGGCTATTCGGGACACAGGAACGCTCAGGTTGAAGATAAAACACATCATTCCTCTGCTTCACACTTTCAGAACTATCCACAGAAAACAGAAAAAAGAAAAAATTGAGGATCAGAGAGTACAGAAAATATGAATTATTCTTTAATATAATGGCTCTCAACTTCTCCCCATTGTGACTCACAGATAAACATAACCACAGGGATAAATAAGTCTTGAAGCATTTACTTCCCAGGAGTAACATGTAACATGTAACTCTGTATCTTTTATCACACACTCAAGTCACAATGGACTGGAAGTATGTTAACAGAAGGCAAAGTATAAACCACAAACTTCAGCACTTGCAAGAGTAACAAGTCAACTCATATATAATATGACTGAGAACCATATATCCTATGTGCCCAGTATTCTAAAATGAGATCTTTTCTTGAGACTGGGTCTTGTTATATACTTTAGGGTGTCCTTGAACTCATTACATAGCCCAGACCAAGCTCAAACTCAGAGATCCTCCTACCTCAGTCTCCTAAGTGCTGGGATTATAGGTGTGCGCCACCATGCCCAGCAGCCTACAATGAAACCTAAGGGCACTGCAGACCACTGTGCAGACACTGCCAGCATATTCCTTTGGTCAAAAAGTTCTTTACTATGGATCACAGACTTTTATAATCAAAAACTTTAAGAAAAGGAGCAATTATGGGGCAGGGGAGATGGCTCAGTGGAACAAACGCTTCCCTGGCAGGCGCAAGGGCCTGAGTTCAATCCCCGGTTCCACCAAGGAAAAAAAAAAGAAAGAAAAGGAGCAATTAAAAAATTTCAGTTCCTTAATAGTTGCTTTTCACTATGTTGTTCTAGGTCTGGCACAACAACCTCTCTTCCAAATTTCTTTACAATATAAATAACAGATCACTGTTACTTAGCTATTGCAGGCTGGGGAGATAGCTTAGTGGCACAGTGCCTGCCTGGCAAGAGCAAGGTTCTGAGGTTAATCCCCAGTGCCAAAAAAATAAGTTAAGCAAATACATTTAGCTATCACATAAGGTTGCACAACACTTGTAAAGATCAAATAGTAGCAGTGATTTTTGTTTTAGAAGAAAAATTTTTTTGGCTTTTTAAAAACTGGTAATTTGGGGCTGGGGAGATGGCTCAGTGGAATAAGCGCTTCCCAGGCAAGCGCAAGAGCCTGAGTTCAATCCCTGGTTCTGAAAAAAAAAAAAAAAAATTGGTAATTTTAGATATACATTACCTGCATCACAGAGAATTTGTACGTGCACATGGCATATTCTTGCTTTTTTTTCCGTTCTCCCTCCTCCCCTCTCTTTAACCTCCTTATTTACAAAAGCTTTGTTTCCATTTTTTTTTCTTGTCCCTTCTTTCCTTTTTCCTTGTTCTCCTCATTTTAACATTTTCATGAAGAAATATTTTTAGAAAAAAAGTCAAGATAAGCTGACTTGCTCCTTAGTTCAAATCTAGTCAGGTATGAGAATGAAGAAGAAAAACGAAACTGGAGGAAAATTTGTAAGGTTATATGCCAGCTACATTTCTGATGTTCAAGCACTTAAAATCCAACCTTCATATCTTGAGTTTTGAGATGCACTATACCCAGGACAGAGGATAGTCACTTACCATTTTGACAGATAGAACTCATACAGTCGAACTGGGCATCTCAGGGGGTTGTCAGTATTTTCTGCCATCTCCACGCCCACAGGAACTTCATCATCCTCATTTCGTTTCCTTTTGCCAACAGTCAGTTTATCTTAAAATGGGAAATGATAACCAAAGGATTATTTTAGAAAGGTCCCTTATCTTCAAGTCTCAAGAGACCCAATAAGGTCTGCTTTCTAGCCAGAACTTTGCCATTCCTCTTTCCCTTATAGTCACTCATTCAACAAATATTTATTGGGTTTCCATGCAGGTACATTATTGGAACATTATTCCCATATGGAAAATTATTCTAAGTGCTATATTTACAGCACTAAACAAACTAAGTCTTGTACTGGGAAATATTACAGTGGCATCTCAGTTCATGAACTCAATTCTCTCCAAGATTCTGGTTATAAATAAAGAACTGGATGAGAACCAAATCAAATTTCTTCATAAGGTCAATGCTGAGCCAATTACTGAATTTGATACAGTTCTCTCCCAATCAGTTTGTGACCAGATTGTGGAAGAATCAAGTTCGTGAACTAAGGTACCACCTGTATGTATGTATGTATGTATGTATGTATGTATGTATGTAGTGATTTTGATTTTCAGATATGGTCTTGCTATGCAGTTCAGGCTGGCATTGAATTCACTGTGGAGCCCAGGCTGGCCTTGAATTCACAGGGAACCTCTTGCCTCAGCCTAGAGAATGCTGGGATTACAGGCATGTACCACAAATATTAAAAAAATAAGCTCCTGTTCACCAGGCTTTAAACCAGAAACCAGATAAAACTGCCACTGCTGACTGTGTAAACACAGTACACTATAGGCCAGCTTTTAAGATGTTTCAGAATTTTACAAGATTAACTAAAAAAAAGTGCTGTGGCCTAAAAAATATTTAGGAATAATAGACTAAACATTAAATGATGTTTATTTAACAATTAACTTTTTTGGTGACTGTTAATCAGTGAGTCTCAACCCTAGTTGTACATTTAAATTCCCTGAGTTTTAAAACATAGATGACTGAGGTTACATGCAATTAAACCAGTACTTCTAATTTAAAAGCCAATAAAAGCATACTGAAGAAAGGGATTACAAGCCTTTAACCTATGTTTCACAATAAAGAAAAACATCTAAATGTTACCTTCCTGTGCCTAGAATTTTCAATTACTTCTTCACAATAATATGTATCACAGACCACACATACCTGGTTCTGACTCTTGCTTCTGTAAAGGTGGGAAGAACCTCAGATATGTCATCTTGGTGCTGTACTTTAAAGTCCTGGTCCGTCTCATTACATGGGCAAAGGAAAGTTTCAAGTGCTCAGTAACATTCTTCAGTTGAAAGTATTTGGTATTGAAAAAAAGGAGGGTGTTTAAGAGGACGATTGGTGAATAAGCGCCCAGCTGTTTGCATTCCCACAAATGCTCTTCTTCAATACGAGAGAACATGTAACCTAGACATAAGAGGGGGAAGAGACATTACTGAGCTCCTGCTGCGCAGAGCTACACAATCTCACATTTTAGGACAGGGATATGAAAGGGAAGAATGACTGTGCCTCTCTTTTGCCCTTCAAACAGAAAACACGCCATAAAGAAGAAGGCAGAATGTTCTAAGTAGACACTGAGTACACTCCTGAAGAGTGAACTGTTCCAACCTATTATTTTTTCAGATTAGGGTGATAAGCTTTCCCTGTGAAGGGCCAGAGTATGCATTTTAAGCTTGGTGGGCCACAGAAAATCCAAACAACTTTATGGTGAAACATTAGGAGCCACAGGTGATCACAAAGCAAAGAGATGCGGCTGTACGCTAGTAAAATTTACAGACAAATCTGAATTTCATATAATTTTCATTCTATAAAATGTTGATTCCATAGTTTTTTCCAACAATTTAAAAATACAAAATTAATTTTGAGCTCATGGACAAACATAACACAAAAACAATGTTTAAAAAGATAATCACAAAACACAGGCAATTTTTATAAGCATATCATAAAGAGCCAAAATAAAAATACATATTACCATTAGGAAGTATTGTGGGTTCCCATATTTTCAAAAGTTTAGTAAGTTCAATCATAAATCTGGAATAGGGCTCAGTAAAAATGTTATCTATCCTACCATTTTCAAACAGGTACTAAAAGAAAATAGAAATATATATATATTAATACAAAGAAAATACATTTATAGTTTTTCCTTACAATAGACAGTCAAATGAAACTTTTAAGCATTTAATGATACGGGGCATTATCAAAATATACAGTGAATATTACAGTTTTTAAAAAATGTATCACACTAAAAGACTGTAATACATTGCTATCAGCCCTCCATATTCCCCTCACTTCTAATACACTCATCCCATTATTATGCCTGCCACTTTCTGAAGCAGTTGTGGAAAACTTCTTTCATGAGTTTCTTTACAGGGTATGGTAAAAAATGTGAAAAATGCTGTTCTCCAATGGCATCCAATGGAAAGGTGGACTCATAAAAAATTATGGTGTGCCCTCATCTACCTTATTAATTGGATCTGTCACCTTGTGACTTCTGACACTTCTCCTAAGGCAAAATGACCATGAAAGGTAAATGTTTATAATTCAGTCAGGATTCAAGGTAACAACAGCACTACTAGAAATACTCATGAATGATAATGTCTTTTACAGTAATAAATTTTTAAAAATTTATACATTCACTGTATATATTGTCACTAAAACTTAGTATGAGGAAACTTAATCTTTCAAATATTTGGGGATGTAGCTCAGTGGTAGAGTGCTTGCCTTTCAAATATTTATTGGTAAGAATTTTCCCTAAGTATTCTTGAGTACTTTTTAATTTTGGGAGACAGCACAACACAACATACTGATCATGATCACAAATCCTGACCCTGCTAGTTACTATATCTGAGCCTCGGGTTCATCAATGGAAAAAACATTAATGATTTTTATACTTTATAGGGTCAAACAATTAAACAATGCATGCAAGGAGTTTACCGTAATGCACACAGCACACATAGTATATGATCATTAGGTATTACCTGGTATATTGTCTATAAAGCCACATTTTACTATTTTTCCTATTATTTGTCTATTTGTATCTTTTGCCAGTTTTCTTTATTATTATATGTTTTACTGGTATATAGGTACTTCCTGCATATGCTGGACAGTATGGCAACACCATGATCTAAAGAAATACTTAATTTGCACTGGGTGTGGGCACATATGTCTGTAATCCCAGGAGTATGAAGAGTTCAAGGCTAGTCTGAGCTACACAGAGAATTCAAGGCCAGCCTGAATAACATTTAATACTCTGGGTCTCAACAACAACAAAATAAATAATTTGAGTTAAGCATGGCAAACAGAAATAAGTCAGATGGCTAATGGGACTTTTTTTTTTGAACCAGGGATTGAACTCCAATCCTTGCGTTTGCCATTCAAGCGCTTTTCCTACTGAGCCAACTCCCCAGCCCCTAATGTGACTATTAACTGGCTTAATTTAGATGGAGGACAATTTGGCAACATGTAGTAAAAACGTAAAAAAGATTGTCTTTGCTCCAGAAATTCCACCCTCGAGAATTTATCTCAGCCAGGTGTGGCAGCGAGCACCTATCACCCCAGCATCAGGAGGTGGGGGCAGGCGGATCACTGCAAGTTCAAGGTCAGCCTGGGCTACAACTAAGTGGGTTCTAGGTTAGGCTGAACCTACATAGGGAAACCCTCTCTCAAAATATACACATACACAAAAGAATTTATCTCAAAGAAATAGCCTATGTATAACATATAAAAAGATATGCACCAGCCGGGTAAAGTGGTACAATGCCAGCACTTGGGAGGGTGAGGCAGGAGGACTGATGTGAGTTCAAGACCAGCCTGATTTATTACAGTGAGACACTATCTCAAAAAACAAAATACCTAAGCAAACAAAGATATGTACCAAAGCACCATTACAGAAAAAACTCAGAGGGTGATAATAAAAAACTAACATATTATGTATTCATTATAAATATGCACACACCACAAATGTACATACATGTATTATAAATCCTGATACAAAGTGTTTATTCATTCATTAAATCGAATAGTTTATAAAATATATGATCACACCTATAATCCTAGCTGAAGCAGGAGATTATTGTGCATTTGAAGTCAACCTGGACTATATGTTGAGTCCAGGCCAGTCTGAATTACATAGCAAGACTCTGTCTTAAAAAAAAAGGAGCGAGGGGCCGGGGAGATGGCTCAGTGGAATAAGTGCTTCCCCGGCAAGAGCAAGGGCCTGAGTTCAATTCCTGGTTCTGCCAAAAACAAAACAAAAAAGGAGCGAGGAGCCGGCCAGCAGATTAAAAAAATCTACAGGCAAATAGCTCAACGGATTAAAGTGCTTGCTTAGGCAGATGCAGTGGCAGGGTTCAATCTATAGCCTACCATGCCACCCTGCCCCTGGGGCACACTGAGACAGCGATTGAGACTGGGTATGGTGGTACATGCCTGTAAAGCCAGCATTTGGGAAGCTGAAAAACAGGAAGGATCAAACCCTGTAGACCCAGTACTAAACACATTAAAAAAAGAAAAAGAAAGTCAACAAAAGTGAACTTCTAAAACCTTACGATTAAGTTTATTTTTGGTCAAAAATGATTGTAGTTTACAATGTTTATTGCCTATAACAATTATTTAATAATTTTAATAGTATTTAACATAAAGCCATTACAAAAAATAAAGGGTATAAAGGCCGGCCAAATAGCTCAGTGGATTAAAGTGCCTGCAAGCAGGCACAGGAGCAGGGGTTCGATCCCAAGGCCTGCCATGCCAGCCCTGCCCCCGGGGAGCACTGAGATGGTAATGGACACTGGGCATGGTGGCTTGTGCCTACAATCCCATCTCTTGGGAGGCTGAACACAGGCGGTCACCACGAGTCCAGTCTAGTAGTGAGACCCTGAACACCCTTTAGACCCTTTCTTAAAATAAAATAATAATAATAATAATAATAATGAGTATAAATACTCTAGAAAGAAAAATCTACAGGCAAAACTACAAATGAACAGCCACATTTGTGTTAAAGGTATAACACAGGGGCTGGTGAGATGGCTCAGTGGTCTAAAGCACCTACTTAGAACAAGCTAAGCAAAAGCACAGGGACCGCGGTTCAATCCCCAGCGCCACATGCCAGCCAGCCCCACCCCCTGGTGGGCTGAACTGGCCACACACACACAAAATAAATAAATAAATAAATAAATATTTTTAAAAAAATGTGTATTTACAAAAAAAAAAAAAAAAAAGGTGTAACACAGGACAAGGCAGAGGATACCTACCATGCTGCAACACAGGCCACCAAAGGATGTGGAAAAGGAGAGCTAAGCTTTGTGTACATGTTTCATGGTTCTCAAAGTTATACTTAGCACATACTGTTTTTGTAATTAAAAACAATACCTTAAGAACAATGTGATAACAACTCATACACTGATGGAAGAAAATTTAATAAATATAGAAAAAAATTAACATTTTGAGTACTCCCACCCAGACATAACCACTGCAAATACATTTAGTGAATTTCATCTGACTATGCATTTATATGTACTACTCTGTTAACACAGTACATTTAATTTATACTATTTAATGCTTTAAAATTAGTATTTTTACTATATCCTATTTTGTAAATAAAATTATTGGCTAAGTAATATACTACTTTCTGAAAGTACCACAATTTACTTAACCATCACACTTTGGTGGCCATTAACATTCTATCCAACTTTTTTTAAAACAGTGGAGTATGAGTGCTAAAGAGATGACAAAACTGAGTTACTGAGAAGAAAAAAAAAAAAACACCAAAAAAACCCTTCTGAAACATAAACCCTAGGTTGCTGGGGAGATGGCTCAGTGGCATAAATGCCTGACTGGCAAGGACAAGGTCCTCAATGTCTTGAATTTGATCCCTGGTATTGCCAAAAAAAAAAAAAAAAGTCCGAAACTTTATGTACTGCCTGCTTTCAGTTATGCAGAAGAATCTTCAATTCACAGCACTCTCAGCAAGTGTCACATTTTTTTTTTTCCTCCTTCGGTTCTCTGAGAATCTTAAAGACTCTCAGAGCTGGCCAGGCTGGCCTCAAACCCATGGCAACCCTTCTCCCTCAGCCTTGCAAATGCTGGGCTTACAGGTGTCTGCTACCTAAAGGCTTTGCTGTTAACTTAAAAAAATTTTTTTGACAATGTGGTAAACAATAATATATTACTTTATTTTGAATTTTATTTATTTATTTTTAATTTTTATTTATTTATTTGTGTCTGTGTGTGGCCAGCTCAGCCCACTAGGGGGCGGAGCTGGCTGGCATGTGGTGCTGGGAGATGGAACCGCGGTCCCTCATGCTTTAGCTAAACTTGTTCTAAGTAGGTGCTTTAGACCACTGAGCCATCTCACCAGACCTATTTTGAATTTTAAAACTTCAAATAAAACCATATGACATATAAACATGCAACAGTCATCTATGTTGCTTTTACCAGTTATTATTTACGCTCTTATAAAATATATCACCTCAATTTCACTTTTCCTACTAACAGTCTTAGCTTACAAAAGGATATATGATAAAGACTTAAATCAAGGACAGTGATGTATTAAGAAAAGTGTTTAGGACTAATAGTAGATAACTAATATTTTAATTTTCAACTTAACTCATAAGTTCTCTCAGAATTATTAGAACTGCAATCAATTTTGTAACATTATTTAAAATGATACCTGCTGAATTCCAAGGCACAAGTATAAGATACTGTCTGGATCATATTTTTCACCATTTGGTCTCCGCACCTCTTGGATAAACTGGCATAAACCCAAACTCAACTCAGCAAATGTACAGGACAAAATATCTTCCTTCAGCTTGACAGAGCGTACTGTAGAAAGACAGAAAACATTTGAAACATTAACTTAAAATGAACATAGTGGTGGTGCATGCCTATAATCCCAGCACTTGGGAGGCTAAGGCAGGTTGAATGCATGAGCTCAAGGACAGCCTGAACTGCATAGTGAAACCCTGTCTTCAAAAAATAAATAAATAAAAGAACATAGTAACATTATTTGAGTTACTAATTACAGTGGCCCCTAAGTAATTCATGAACTTAATTTGTTCTACAATTTCGGAAAAGACAGTCACATTTGTACTTGTGTTAGAAAGATGGTCGTGGTCCTGTTTGTAACATGATGTAGAATTTGCAAACAAAAATTTTTGCCAAATGCTTTTTGTTATGAACAAGCTGTTTGTAAGCAAACATGTTCATGGACTGAGGTACTGCTGTACTACTTACTATGCCTAGCATTGTGGTAGAGATTATGGAATAAAAAATGAATGTAATCTCTAGGCCTTATCCAAGTAGAGAAACAAGGGCACTATAGTGCTTATCATACAATGGGTAATATTAGAGGTTTTGCTTAAACAGGATGTTATGAAAGCAAATGAAGGACATGTAACACAGAAGAGTCAGGTTAGACAGTCTAGAGTGACACTGGCACTAGGTCTTAAGAGGCAAGGAGTTGCAAAGATTCAATTCCAATGTGAGGAGGCAGAAAGATATCCCAAAGTACATTTAAGAAAGCACTAGTCCTATGTGAAAGCTAGAAAAAATTGAGTTTCTAGGAACTGATAAATTTGGAAAATGCAAAATGCCGTTATCTGCCTCTGAAGAATTTCCACTGCCTACTGGTAGATTAAAGACCTTGAAACTTTTTTTTCCTGTATTGTTTAACTTTCTTTAACTTGGAGTTAACCACAAAAGACTTCAAATAACAAGAAACATCCTCATAAAACACTATAATAAAGTATCCCATCTAGTAGGCCATAAAAGTGAAAGATTCAGAAGACTTGAGTGTGCAGGAGAAAAGCAAAAACAGGTGTAAGTAACTTATGGTAAGCTTCATGCATCACATTAAGATTTTGGTACTGGGAACTGAACTCAGGACCTTGTGCTTGCCAGGCAGGCACTTGTGCCACTGAACTAAATCCCTAGCATTACATTAAGATCTTGAACATAATGAAAAACAATTTTGAGTAGGGAAGGATCTCACTAATCTGTACAGCTCCTACTGCAAGAGGCTAGTCTATTCTGTGAGTTAGAGCTAATAATTAAAATGCTGCTCCCAGATATTGCACTTCTTCATTTAGACAGGAACACACATTAGGATCCCCAGTGTTGATTGTGCATAAGAAAAATGGAACCTTCTAAGGGAAAGGACCATTTTTGATTTCTCAACCCAATGTACCTAGCATTATGCCTGATACATAGCAGGCATTCAGTATGTATTTTTTGGATGAATGAGTGTAGAACTGGACAGGTATTTCCCTTGTATATGGCATTTAGGCCTGGGCTGTCTTAAAACAGTATTATCTCTCCCTTCTATTCTTCCCTTCTTTCTTTTCTTGAGACAGGGTCTTACTACGTTTCCCAGACTGTTTTCAAACTTGTGACCTCAAGTGATATAACTGCATTAGCCTCCCAAGTAGCTGGGATTATAGGTACCTACCACTGAGCCCAGCTACCTTTCTTTTATAAGACAGAGTGCTGCTAGGTGGTTCTGATTTGAATTTCATCATCTGATGTTACGCAGATACCCATGATGGGAATCTGTTAGAAGTAGGTGGTTATAGTCCTAATAAATTCCCAAACACCTCAGAATATTATATAACTTTGGAGCACAGAAATTACAACTGATCTCTAGGAACTCACTGAGTCAGTTACAGCCCAATATATCCACTAACTGTTTTGGTAAATGGGCTGTGTATGCCCAAGACCAAAAACACAGTACCAGCAGATGAAGCCAACAGTGTATGAGCACCTAGGTGTAAGAGATAATATTTAACTGAAAAATGGCAAACTCCAGTTACAATGGACACAGTCATCCATTCTTACTCCATCTCCTTCATAAAGGTTGTAGAAGTACAAAAGAAGAGATAATAGTAAAATATAAACTGAAAGCCAAAACTTAAAATAAGGTATCAAAACCAGTGAAAAACGAAAACTAAAGTGAGTCTTACAATTATTATTTTTTTGGGGGAGTCTTACAATTATATACTCTTTCAGCATGCTGGGAGGCTGAGGAAGGAGGAACAAGTGCAAGCCTAGCTGAAAGAACTTAGTGAGATCCTGTCTCGAGAAAAAAAATAAATAAATAAAAGAAGACAGGTATGGGGTACATCTCAGTGTGAAGGCTCAGGGTTCAATTCTCAGCACTGCTGACAAAACAAAACATCTACACACACAAGTGCTTAATTTGAAATGTTACATAATTCCTAATTTCTTAGCAATTAATGTGAAACATACAAATATTGTCAACTACACAGATTTCACTGTTAGGAAAAGCTGCTATGAAGAAATAAAGCTTTTGCAGGTATTTTTCACAACAGGGAAGGAGGGAGGGAGGGATAATGGGTCCAATATAGGTTACTATATAGATGTAGGGCTGAAGAAGAGGTACTATAAACTCACCATCATAAGAACAACGTTACCTTTTATAATATCCTCTTTATAACTAAGGGAAGGTCATTAATTTACCTTAAGGCTTAAAATTAAGACTATTACTACCACTTGAACATGTGATTACAAATTTAAATGAATAGTAACATGATAAATAACTTATAGCAAATGTAGAGAAACAACTTTCACCTCTATAGCCTGCCTCTGAAGACTCTTGAGAGACTGCCTGGTCTTGAGCACTTCCTAAGGGATCAGAACATGGACTGGATGAGGCATGTTCACCTCCTGATGAGAAAGACAAATAAAAGAGTTGAAAGAGTGAAGAGTGCATGGAAAGCCAAAACCACATCTTATCAGGTATCTCTTTTGGGTAAATTAACAGGTTTACTTATTTATATTTCTCTCACTGAAGACAAATTCACATTGTGTATTTACCTCCACATTTTATATCCACCTGCTCTTCCTTGGCATTTTTCCACTGAACCCAGTTCTTCCAGGCATTTACCCCATACATGTATTTAAGTGTCATCCCAGATACTGAACACCCTTGAAAGGCTCCTTGAATAAGACTCCTGGGCTCTACAGCCACTATAGACTTCTTCCGTCCCTGTGAGAATTCCAAAAATTTAACAGAATATAAATATGTTTCGATCTTTAACAGAGTTGTCAAAGCTGGAAATTATGTAAAGCTATAAAATATGAAATCTAGTTTTATAGTCTTAAGATTCAGAATTCTTGGTGGTACAAAGTACATTAGTGATTATCTAACCTAATCCATGAGAAAAAAAGGCAGCCTGAAAGCAAAAATTTTAAATGTAGATCACACTGTATTAACTAAGAATATCTGGATACTTACTATTTTCTAGATATTGAACCCACTTAATGATATATGAATGACTATTACTACCACTTAGGTCCATTTAGTCAATACATGCACAGATCTTATTCTAGGCTATAAAACATACCTCAATACAGTCCCTAAGCATCATGGAATTAAACTAGAAACCAAAATTGAAAAAAGGTGAGTGGCACCCCTTCCCTGTGTAAGCAAGCAGACCCATGTCAGGTAAGTGGCGCTATCTTGCACCCCTGCAAAGCCAAAACCAGGCTTCACATTTTGCTTTCCCATAGCACATGACAGCAGGGCTGAGGACTAACAAACTGAGCTGATCATAAGGAAGGATGATACCCAGGCAGAAAAGGGGGCATCTGGACCCCACAACTCCAGACATTAAGTACAACAGCAGTGCAAGCCACTGCTCTGCAGTTTGCACACAACAGAGACCAGAGAGTTGATCACATTCCCCATCCAAAAGGTGAAAAAATAGGCCTTGGTTTGGGCATAACCACATTCTGAGGGGAATGGAGAGAGGGGCCTATGGTGCAGGACGGGCACCTCAAAAACAAATAGGCCCCAAAGCGAGGTAGAAAATAATTGTGAGTAGGTGAATCCCAAGACTGCATATCTTGGAAAGAAACCATTCATTCATTAACACAGGAATATTTTTCTTTAACTCAAGTCTTTCTGATTATTTTGCTTTACTTCTGTCTTTCCTCTACTCAGTATTTTTTGAGGAATGGGGTTCTCCTTTTATCTTTTTTCCCTTTTAGTTTTTCTTCTTTCCTTTTCAACTTTTTCCCTTCTTATCTTGCTTTTATTATCTATTATTGCTCTGTCGTTTTTATCTTGTTCATTCTTTCCTGTGACTGTTCTCCAATACTATTAATTTCTTTTCACCCTATGTCACTTTTCTCTCCCCTTTCTATACCCCATTAATTTTTCAAATTTGGCTTTTTTCATTCTCCAGTTCCTCTCCTCCTTTATCTTTATGAGTATAAATACTCTAAATAACTATTTAACTTTACACTATTGCTACTGAAAACTGTCCTATTGTTCAAAGAGTTGCTCCATTTAGTAGCTGTTCACTGAAGACCAATGCTAGGTCAATATTTGGCTTGTCTTAGTGTTCACATTATAACTGCAGATCTCTTCTGTGGCTAAGGGTGGTACTTTATTTAGCTGTTGGTATTAATTGATTTTATTGAGGTATCAATATCTGTATTGCCTTGGGATCATGAACAATATTGTTGTCCATTCATGAAAAACTTGGTAATGGGCCAAACATACTGCAACCTTCCACCTTAAGTAAACAACAGTGGTTGGTTCTGGGACAGATGCAAAGTTTACCCACATGCACGTTGTATCACTGAAAAGTAAATCTTAACTAAAGAAGTCTCCATAGTAAAAAACAAAAATTTCCAATAAAGCAGCCTGCAAGCCTCAATATAAAAAATAAAAAATAGAAACATAAGACAACTCAACAAAATGCCTCCAACAACCTGAGCATTGAAAGCTACATTTCAGTTATCTGAAATGATACCAGAGGAAATATCAAAGCAGATCAATATAGCACTCACAAGCTCACAGGCGATGCAAGTATAAATATACTGGGCTAAATAAAATGACTGAAGACTCTAAAAAAGACACTAGTAAAAAGCTAGAAGAGCTAAACAAAAAGATGCAAGCCATGAATGACCAGCACAGAATTAAGAGTACATAAAAAGGCTCCAAAGCTGGACATGGTGGCCCACACCTATGAGCCTATCACTCAGCTGGCTGAGGAAGGAGGATCACCATGAGTTTAAGGCCAGTCTGGGTAGGAAAAAACCCCAAGAAAACAAAGAATAAAAAA